GGAAGGAGAGGGAGGAGAAAGGGGAGAAAGATGAGAGGGAAGGAGGAAGGGAATAGTAAATTAACAAATAAATGAGGCTTCTCCGATGGCTCAGCTGGTAAAGAATCTGCCTGCAATGTGGAAGACACAGGAGACTCAGGTTTGATCCCTGGAGGAGGAAACGGCAACCCACTCCAGTAATCTTGCCTGGAAAATCCCACGGACAGAGAAGCCTGGTGGGCTACAGTTCATGGGGTCGTAAAGAGTCTGAAGCGACTGAGCCCGCATGCACAGGAGAATAAACACTTCTGAAAAATCTCGCTCAGCCTCACATCTCGCACGTCTAATTGTCTTCATTTTTTGAGTCTTTCCTGCCATGTCAACACGAATCACAATGATGGAGCTGTCCATCTCCACGATTTCTATATGGGAGGGGCATCAGGAGGTCCATAATGTTGCAGATGGGCATTGGGGGGCGGGGGGTGCGTCTGGGATCTGAGCAATCAGCCCTGGGAGAGGCTGTCCCGAGGCACAGGGCAATGTCCAGCGAGGGATGCAGCTGTGAGCCAGCATCCATCAGCCAGGGGATGGGTACAGGAGCTTTGATGAGGGGAGCACCCGCGATGGAGACCAACATAAAGCATCTTCCATGAAATGACAGAGTATTTGAGCTTTACGCAATCAACAGTGTATAGATCTACAATAGGGAGTGAATGTGCTGAAAACTGTAGGTTAGAAAGAGCTCCCCGGGAGCAGGATAAGGACAGATACAAAAGTCAGAGGCTGGATGTAGTGAGGCCAGTTTGGAGGCTGTGGCAGTGGTGGACAAAAGATAAGTAAAAGATGCTGAAGAGGGAGGCTGGATTTCTAAAAGTTGGAATCAACTTGGTTCAGTGACTTATTGGACGATCCAGGTAAACTGTAGAGAGGAATCAAAGATAGCTCTCAGAATAGTGGCTACTGCTGCTGCTGCTGCGTCACTTCAGTCGTGTCCGACTCTGTGTGACCCCATAGATGGCAGCCCATCAGGCTCCACCATTCCTGGGATTCTCCAGGCAAGAACACTGGAGTGGGTTGCCATTTCCTTCTCCAATGCATGAAAGGGAAAAGTGAAAGTGAAGTCGCTCAGTCGTGTCCAACTCTTCTCGACCCCATGGACTACAGCCTACCAGGCTCCTCTGTCCATGGGATTTTTCCAGGCAAGAGTACTGGAGTGGGGTGCCATTGCCTTCTCTGATAGTGGCTATTGAATTCAGTAAAATGATATAATTAATTGTTGTTCAGAGGCTAAGTCCTGTCTGACTCTTTGCAACCCCATGGACTGCAAAAGCCAGGCTTCCCTGTCTTTCACCATCTCCTGGAGCTTGCTCAAACTCATGTCCATTGAGTCGGTGATGCCATCCTACCATCTCATGCTCTGTTGTCCCCTTCTCCTCCCACCCTCAATGTTTCTCAGCATCAGGGTCTTTTTCAATGGGTCGGCTCTTCACATCAGGGGGCCAAAGTATTGGTGCTTCAGTGCCTTTAAAATATTTCTTGAAACCCAGATTGTATGATTTTGTGACCTGATGACTCAGAACTATGTTTGAGGACTAAGATGCTTTTCAGTCCCTTTGAGTTTGGTCTCAGGCACTAGGAGACGAGGCTTTTGCTTCAGAGCTGTCAGGGGGTCTTTGGGGTCAGTGAGAAGCTCAGAACCTTCCACACAGCAGCTGGGTCCTCCTTCCTACCTCTGGTCTCAGGAGATGCTTGCCCTTGTGTATTTTGCAAACTGGGAGAGGGAAGAAAGTAGGTCGTTCCAAGGCATTTAGTACTTTGGCAGAAAAAAAAAAAAGTATATCAAAGTTTGCTAAGAAGAGAAAAGGTTATTTTCTTTTATTTTGACAGTTTGTGTAGATCCAAGACTTTCTACTGAGTCACCAACTCAGCCGCAATATAACTATTTCAGCTTCCTGGGAATACTATTTCTGAGTCGCAGTGATATAATGATCTGAACATTCCAATGCTTTCAGGAACCTAGAAAATACTATCTTTGCTTCACAGCTGCACACGGTCCTCATGGTAATATTCGTCATTGTATGGTGACCTGTATGAAAATACCACAGAATAAAAGAAATCTCTTAATTCCTGAAAGAAATGTTCAAACACCAGTTCCCTATTCCACAAGTCTTTTTTTCCCTCAGAAAATATGCAAAAAGCAATACATGACTCATTTGTTAAAAGTTCCATGTTTTCATTGCAAATTCCTAGTCAGGCTTTGGAATGGATGCTTCTCTTCTACGATTCCCATATTCTCTGAGTCACCAAGGTTTTTGGATGTTGGCAGGAGAGTCTGTTCCTACGACGTCCTCACAGAGTTACACGTGGCCAGGAAGGAACAGGGTGCCAGGATTTGAACTAGGAGTGAGTGTGGGTATCATTCTTCCATCCAGGCATCCATGGCCCCAGTCCTTGGCACTGCGGTTCAGAAAGCTTCCCCCTGTGATGTGCAAATAGAATTCTCAGCAACACTGTTAAAGTGTAGCCAGAGATTCCACAGGTCTGGGTCAGGGGGCTGAGAACTTGCATTTGTAACGAGTTCCCAGGTGCTGAGGATGCTGGTTCAGGGATCACACTTAGGAAATGACTGGTTTAGGGATTCTCTCCATCTCTCCTCCAGATATGCCCCTCCCGCACAGGATGATCACATGATCCAGGGCATCTAGTAACATGAGACTTGGCGGCTCCTTCTAAACCACATTGTGGCTACCCAGGACTCCAGAATTTCCCACCCAGACAACTCGCTGTTCTGTACACACATCTCCCCAGTCTGTCCTTCCACTGGCCAATCCCACCACCAGTGTGTACATGCGTGGTTCAGTAAGGGTTGGCAAAGGGTCAGCCTTTGGAAAAGAGAGAGAGAAGCGGGTGGCCCTCTGTTTAGGGACTTCCATTTGCCTTTTTGCCCCAGCAGGTAAATGTTAGAAGTGGTCTTTTTCTTTTTTTAACTTTTTATTCTGTATTGCAGTATAACTGATTGATGAACAATGTTGTGATAGTTTCAGGTGAACGGCAAAAGGACTCGGTCATACACACACACATATCCCTTCTCCCCCAAACTCCCCTCCCATCCAGGTTGCCACGTAACACCGAGAAGCGTTCCCCATGCGCTACAGCACGTCCTTGTTGGGGATCCAGTTTAAATACAGCAGCGTGTACCTGTCCATCCCAAAGTCCCTAACTATCCCTTCCCCCTATGCTTCCTCCTACCAATCATAAGTCCCTTCTCAAGATTTTTTTGATGTGGACCATCTTTAAAGTCCTTATTTGAATTTGTAACAATATTGCTTCTGTTTCACGTTTTGGTTTTTTGGCCACTATCTTAGCTCCCCAACCAGGGATCGAATCTGAACCCACCTTGCATTGGAAGGCAAGGTTTTAGGACCGATCCCTGGGAGTGGTCTTACATCTGTTCACGAGAATGACAGGAAGAGATTCCATCCGGAAATGTTTTCTCTGATTTTAAGGCCGGGGCACAGTTTGTCTACTGCCTCTAAAGGTCTTCTTAGAACAATGGGAGAATGTTTCTTCCCTTCCATAGAAGGGTCCACACCTTTCCCAGGTGACTGCCTGCGGGCTTTGAGAGCTCAGAGCTTTCAGCTGAAGTCCAGCTCCTGTGTGAATTTGAGTGAGTCCATCACTTTTGAGCAGGAAGGCATGCTTTGGACTCAGTTTCTTGATCTTTATAATGGGAATACTGCCCCACTCTCTGCCACATCTTCCCCATGTCCAGCCAACTTTCCTTCATCCTTTGGCCTTTAGCTCAAATGCCATCATTTTTTTTTCCATTGAGAAAATTTTTATTGAAATATATTTGACATATAATATTGTGTGAGTTCCACGTGGACAACATGTCAATTTGATCCTTTTTTATATTGTAGCATCTTGACTAGATCAGATGCGTGGAGCTAAGACGGAAGTAACTGGCAACCTTTCCTCCCTTTATAGTCCTGATTTTATTTTATGTCTGCCAGCCCAGTGACTCCAAGAGCAGGGATTATATCTCCTTAATTCTCTGCTACATCTTCTTCACTGGCACAGAGCCTGACACCTAATAGACGCTAAGCCTGTGTTTGCTAAATGAGTAAATGAACGTGTGGTTATTGTCACAATTGGAGAGAGAATTTCCTAAGTGACTGGCACCACGTAGGTGCCTCGCAAGTGACACTCATGATTTTTCAGTGCCATTGACACTGGAATCACACGTTGCATCTTCTCATATTCAATCCGTGGGGGAGAACAGGGTGAACTTGGAACAACTACAGTCTGAACTGTCCAAGTCAAGAAAAAAATGTGGTGTGATAAACTATTGGCCCGAACAACGAGAAGCATGACACAGTTTTTAAAGGCTTAAGGAAATGAGAGATCCATAATTTAAAACGCAGGATCAAAAGTACAAAAAAGCGGTCCTTAACTCATTTTGCTTGCCCCTCACAACTCATACCAGGGACAGTCCAATAGTGCACTTTCTTGAAGAGCGAGGGGTGAAGAGGAATTCCCTCCTGACATCACCTAACTCCCCCGTTCCTCTTCTCATCTCTGGGGATTATCTTATCTGTCCCTTTAATGTCAGCCAGCCCAAAGAGCCTCTTGTCAAATATTTCTGGGGCCTGCACTTGAAGAAAGGAACGATTCTCTCAAATCTGTGAACAGGGCATTTTTCTTTCTTTCTTTCTTTCTTTTTTTTGATGTCAAAATAAACCATCTGCTTGTACAACTGTTTCTAATTACTTCCCTGCCTAGACTCTCCACTTGAGGGGTTTGGTACCAGCACCCCGCCCAGAGCGCTGCCGCCCAAACCCTCGCAGGCAGCTCGTCCACGCCCTCGCAGCTCCGGGTAGAGCCCGGGTCCTGCACGCCTGGGTGTTTGCGAGGCCGTCTGCCCGGCCGTCTGCTGGGGGCACCTCTCCCCGCTCGGCCTCCCTGCCCCCCCCGAGCCCCACCTCGCAGCCGCTCCAGCCTCTGCAGCCTGGAGACTCAGCATGCGTCCCGCAGGCTTGGGGAGCATCTTGCTGCTGATGTCCGCCCTTCTCCTGCCCGGGGGGCTGTCAGCTGTTCCGCGAAGCTTTTCGCCGTCTCTGAGGTAAGTTGGTTTGTTTTTCTTGAACATAGACCTGCCCTGCCTTGCGTGGCGGGACTCAAAGCTCCGGGATGGCTGCCCCAAGCCAAGAGCAGTTAGGAAGTTGGACGCCAGATCAACTGATTTTCAACCTGTTCCGATTCTTCTTCCATCTACATTGTGCATTGCCTTACCCCTGTTCATTTGCCCTTCCTTGGGAAAAATACAACCATCGAATACATTTATCATTTCCTCCTACTCCAATACGTATCAGGAGGAATTTTCTGCCACGCCAGGTGTAACTTTGTGCTCTCATCGCCTAGAAGGCAGAGCGTGGGGCTGGCATTAACATTTTGCATGGCATTTTCAAAGAGAATTGGAGGCACATCGCGATAACTAGCCTTGTATGCTTTATAGTTTATAAGTATTTTATGTTTTAAAAGTATAGTTTGTAAGTATTGCTTATTGCAGCTTGGAAAAGCTTTATGTCTTCTGCTATCATAACCTGTATGGTTCTTTCTATATAACCATCTCTCCTTTTTCATGAAACAACTGCCCCTGGCCATCAGCTAGCAACAGGACTTTTGAAAGAGAACTGAAAAGTCAGCCAAGGGTCAGACTTTGGATTAATTTTGGATTAATTCGCATTTAATCTAAATGCGCTGTGTAAGGTTCAGTGGCAGACCTCCAAGGGGCAGGCCCGGATCCTCCAGTTCACCTGGAAGACGGTCCTCTTCTTCGGCGGGGCAGGTCACCACTTAGGCATCTGTGGTCATTTCTCCGGCGATGACCAGTGGATGGCAACAGCTTGGTCCTGGGAGAAACTGGGGAGGAGGGGTTGCCCAGGCTAACAATCCCCAGGGGGTTGGCGGTCGGTCTCCAGGGATCTGGGTGGACCCTAGGAGGCAGCGGCGGCGGGGCGGGTGTGGTGTGTGTTGGGGGGGGGGGGGCTAGGAGCAGAAGGGGCAGTGCCTGGACGTGACCGTGGCCCCCGCTGTGGTCTGTCGCCCCTGCAGGAGCGGCCCGGGCGCCGCCGCGTGCAGGCTGTCCCGGGCCGAGTCGGAGCGCCGGTGCCGCGCGCCCGGGCAGCCCCCAGGGGGCGCTCTGTGCCACGGCCGCGGCCGCTGCGACTGCGGGGTGTGCATCTGTCACGTGAGCGAGCCCGGCGTGTACTTCGGGCCCCTGTGCGAGTGCCACGAGTGGGTGTGCGAGGCCTACGACGGCAGCACCTGCGCAGGTAAGAGGGCGCGGCGCCGGCCCTCCGCGCGCGCCGCGGGGCTTCGGCCCGTGCGGGAAGGGGGGCTGGGGACCATCCCCTCCGCATCCAGCAGGGGGCCTGCCCTCCGCCAGCCGGTTCTGGAATGGCGTCTCTTAGCCCCGCCCTCCGCGCTAGGCCCAGACTTCCGCGGGAATAGTATTTGCTGAGGTTCACTCGCCCCATTACGAATCTCAGCCTCTACTGTTGCTTCCTCATTACAGACCAAACCTCCCCACTTCCCCCTAAACGCAGTTGTTTCGCTGGGCTCTCCACTCTGATCACGCGTGTTAACCGTAATATTTGCAGAGTGGAAGCCTCTATTTGTTTTAAATTGAAGGGTAGCTGATCGGCAGCGTGGTGTTAGTTTCTCACCCGTGTTTTCTTTCTTTACCGAGGAAGCGCAGGAGAATCTTATTTTCCTACATTCCAGGGAAGCCCACTGTGTTTTTGAATGTGGATTTGCCCTCTCATAGGTAGCGTTTAATTGACACGTGGTGGCGTATATCAGAAAACTGTACACCAAGACGAGCAGGCCTGGATTTTCTTGGAAGCGATGGCTTCTGTATTGTTTTTGCTGCTCCCATTTTTTGGCTTCAGTGCAGCTTGGTGTTTTGTAAGGGTGGGGTACAAATAAACTCATTTCCTTTGCACATTTTAAAGGAGTGATTTGCGTTCTCATACTGGAAGAGGTCAAGCTATTCCTTCGAAGAGAACACCCCTAACGTCTATAACCAGTTTCACATAACTGCGCCGCTTGCTTGGAGCCAAGAACCTCAATCAGGTCATTGTGAATGATCCAGGCCCTCGGTCAGTGAAAGCGCATTCTCAGTGCACTTTTGTGGGAATACACACAGTGCGTTCCCACCAGTGTTTGGCAGACTCATAGGAAAGAAAAATCCACTTACTTTACCCACAGTGTAGCTGAGAATGAGAGTCCAACAGTAACAGAGAGATCAAGCATGAGTTTATAGCAAATGTTTTTTTTCTTCTGTGGCATTTGGGCCTAGAAGCGCAGGGAAGGTACTTAATACGCGGGCTGTTTGACTGTGAAAAAAAATAAGTCATATAAGTAATTTGGAGGGCCACAGGTGCTTCTGTGGGTTTGTTTAGCCTTGGAGACTGCACTTCAACCCTTTAAATGTATTGAATGCCACAACTTATTTTAGCTTGTCAGTCCCACATGCTACAGTGCTATTAAGGGCAGCCGTTTGGAATGAAAGCTAACTATTGTCTAATATTTCTCTCCAAATTCAACTGTTACCTGGCTTCTCTGGCTTTGATTGCCTCTGGCAAGGCCTCCTCAATATCATGAGTTCTGGACACATTTTTCAGGGCATTTTGCATTGTTCTTTCATTGGAAACATAAGAAGCAGGATGCAGTTTTCAGCCAGTAAGCTAGTTCTGGTTACCAGTAGCTTGAACTCCCCTTTTAAAGAAGTTGATTGGTTTCCTTCCTGTTAGTTAAAGGGTAGCTGTGGTATGTTTATGTACTCTTGTTTATCTCCCATGGGAAATGATTTTTTGTTTCGTCCCACCATCTTTGTCACTACATTCCGTCCATTCTGGTGCAAAATGCAGCTCTGAGTCATGCATGGTTTTGTTTGCTTGTGTGTACATTCCTGCTTCTCTATATTTAAGACTGAATGAAAGAACTGTGTTTGTTTCCATTCCTCATATTTCTGACTGTTGCCCATTGGTGCCGGCTCGCTGGGCCTGGTGTAGAATCTGCCCCTGCAAATGCACTGGCTATATTTGCCAGGTCAGTGAGGACAGCTTCACACACAGTCTTGTCTGGTTATCTTGCCAGCTTGCCTGCTTGTTCTGTGCTTCAAGTTTAGCTCCTCCATTCTGTCTGCAAGAAATGATTCCTATATTATCGCCAGGAAGAGAGAAACATGGGCTTCCCCAGTGGCTCAGCAGGAAAAAGAATCTGCCTGCAATACAGGAGACACAGGAGACATGGGTTCGATCCCTGGGTCGGGAAGATCCCCTGGAGAAGGAAGTGGCAACCCACTCCAGTATTCTTGCCTGGGAAATCTTGTGGACAGAGGAGCCTCCTGTGCTACAGTCCATGGGGTCGCAAAGAGTTGAACATGACCGAGCACTCACTCAAGAGAGAAACATAGTAGGTTGTCTTTTATGTTTTATGTGCGTCTGGGCCTTGGTCTCTGTGATAAGCCCCTATAGGTGATTTTCAGAAATAGGGTAACTTCCAGAGACTTGCCCCACCTCTGTGAAGAAAACACAGTTCTGCTCTGGCAGGGTATCATAGAGTGGTTAAGACTGTGGGCTCTGGGAGAAGTTTTCCAGGATTTGAATCCCACACTTAACATCTGTCTGAATTTGGGCAGTTACTTAGCATTCCTTAGCCTTGATTTCTTCATCTGTAAAATGGGAATAATAAAGTAGCTATCTTATGGGATTGTTGTGAGGTTTAACAGATGCAGGAGACTTAGAATACTGTTTTGCATAAAGTCAGCACTCAGAACACATGAACATGCTTGTATATGTCTATATAACATTATTTTGGGTTGCATAGAAGGTGAGCTAGGGCGAATGGATAGAAAGAGATGGGTAGATAAAGAGCCTGGCTTTGTGTTTGTCAGTTGATACTGTGAAAGCAATTTAGTTTCTTTAAAGTCTTGGGGTTGGGGGGGACCTGTTATTGATCCAAAGTTCAAAAGGTCAAGCAAGGACAGCGATTTTGGCTCAACCTGAGAGCCTCTGTAGGAGATAACACTGTGCTCTTTTCAAGTTAAGTCCACTGGGATTCTTACACCCTGACTCATAGGAGACATCCTTATTTTAAATGAGCTGGTTGAGAGTGATGACTTTTACACACGATCACAAGTGGTCTGTCTCTCCCAGTCTCCACTGGCTCCTGGCACATGGATCTTCCTCCAAATTCCATAGCATAAAGATCTGACCCAGCAATTGTTCATGTGGGTGTGATGGTCTAATGAGGAGTAAACTCATTTTGGTAAAATATTTCTTTAAGAATAGTCAAATGTTTGATTCTATAAAGACAAACTTTTGGTTTGGACTTCAGGGTATCCTGAATAACCCCCTGGGTACCTGTGATTACACTTAAAGTATTGGTTTCTTAAACATTTTTCCAATCAGTTTTTGAAATACATCACTTAAAAGAGATTCAGTTTTAGGAACTTGGAAAAGCTAATTGAATCCATTGTAGTCAGTTTTATAAAGTGCTATTGAATGGCAACCCACTCCAGTGTTCTTGCCTGGAGAATTCCATGGACAGAGAAACTTGGTGGGCTACAGTCCATGGGTCACAAAGAGTCAGACACGACTGAGCAACTAACATACACACATACACACACATGCACACACATACACATACATAAAGTGCTATATGGCCTTCCCTGATGGCACTGGGTAAAGAATATGCCTGCAGTGTGGAAGATGAAGGAGACTTGGGTTTGATCCCTGGGTCAAGAAGATCCAGGGATCAAACCCATGAATCACATGGACAGGGGAGCCTGGAGGGTTACAGTCCAAAGGGCGGCAAAGAGTTGGACACGACTGAGGACTAAGCACTCACACTTGCACACACAAAGTGCTGCATATTTGCTAGACTCTCTGTTTACTATGAAAGATGTGCTATTAAAGATATTGTTGTGTAGTCGCTTAGTCATGTCCGACTCTTTGCAACCCCATGGACTGTAGTTCACCAGGCTCCTCTGTCCATGGGATTTCCCAGGCAAGAATACTGGAGTGGGTTGCCATTTCCTTCTCCAGAGGATCTTTCTGACCCAGGGATTAAACCTGTGTCTCCTGCATTGGCGGGCGGATTCTTTACCACTGAGGCACCAGGGAAGCCCTGTAAGATGTTGTAAATAAATGTTTATGTATAACTGAATCACTTTACTGTATACCCGAAACTAATGGGACATTGTTCATCAACTGTATTCCAATATAAAATGAAAAGTTAAAAAATAATAAAATGAAGGTCAGTTAACTCCTAAAAAAAATAAAAGTGCTACAAAAGATGAGAAATACACGACAGCTTCCCACTGAGTAGGGAGGTTCAGAGAAATACCAAATGCCTAAGGCAAGGAAGAATATAATTTCTATGCATTTCTATGAGGGTTCCATTAAGGTAGGAATTAAATATTGTGGTTTAAATTCTGGAAAAATTGTAGCATTTGACATAAATCTTTTAGCGTAAGAAGGTTTTTATTCCAAAAGGTGGACAATTGGAATTCTGAGTGAGGAAAAATTGAAGAAATGGTTTAGAGGCAGAAATACATGTAGGTGTGTTTGGAGCAGAGTGAAGGGTTCTGGGGCTGGCTTCACTGGAAATTAGGGCTGTGGGAAGCCTAGTGGAAGATACATTGAGAGCTGCAGCTGGACATCTGGCAGAGAGCTCTGAACCTGAAGGTGAAAGTGAAAAGTTAAAAGTGAAAGTTGCTCAGTCGTGTCCGACTCTTTTGCGACCTCATGGACTATACGGTCCATGGAATTCTCCAGGCCAGAATGCTGGAGTGGGTAGCCCTTCCCTTCTCCAGGGAATCTTCCCAACCCAGGGATTAAACCCAGAACTCCTGCAAAAGAATTGGAGGCAGATTCTTTACCAGCTGAGCCACAAGTGAAACATGCTGAATGTGAAGCCTGTGCTCAATTAAACAGTATATAGGACCCATGAAGCAGTTTGAACGTGGGAGTTTGAACATGATTGATGGTCAGTGCTTTGATTCATGGAAAGTAATATGGTGCCTGGGGGCCCAGCAGGTTGGGATAGACACTTGATGGGGAGGAACTCAGGTTAGATCGTGTTTAAATACTAGTTTCCCGGGGAGAGAATAAGGATAGAATTATGAGGCATTTTAAAGACTGCTGGAAGATAGAATCATATGCTTTAGTACTCAGGGATGAGTAAGATGGGGTCAGTGATAGAACTGATGGAAGAAAGTCAGGAGAAAGAGTCAGAAAACTCATCAATGGTGAAAAGGCCCTGC